CCAGGTAAACAAACAACTCCACAGGTAAGGAGGGAGGTGGCAAAGTCTCAGTCAGCAATTGGGTGTGGTGGCGAGGGAGAGATGGACAATAATCGGGGTCACCCACTGGTCAAGTGCAAACGTCTTGTTACAACATGATGCTACATTCACTCCGTCAAGCACTGTCGCGATAACATTGTGTATGAGTGAGGGAGTTGTTCTCACAAGCCATTTCATCAGTATTTTGTACACTAATCAGCTGAGACTTAAATGTGTTAAACTTTAACTCACTCACTCATTAAAGGAACTACATTGTGTAATCATCTACATGGGGAACGAGATAGAATTTCTAATTTTCAAATCAAAGATTTTGAGGAAATTTTTGTCAAATGGGAAACATTTTCTGAGATGGTTCAAAACATGGAAGGTAAACAAAATTTACCTTTCACCATTATTTAAACACTGATAAACATGAATGAAGTAATTTGCTGACCAAACAACAAAAAACAAATGCTGTTTCTAAGAGAAAAACAACAAGAAAGAAGTGAGCAAAGCTCACATACCCCCGTTATCCCCGCTGTTCAACAACAAATAGTAAATAGTTTGTTAATTAATGAAATATACCTGTTGCTTTAAGTCAGAGGAACTGCCCTTTCCTTTGTAACTCCATGAGGATGCATTATGTTTGAAATGAACACATGTTTTTGCAAATATATTTCAATCTAGTGTGGGATAATCAATGCTTAGCACAACATACATTCTTGATGTTTCTTAATGTGTCCATGGAAATGGCAAAAATTAAAAAGTTCAGAATCTTCAAACTAGCAAAAGGCACAAGTACTCATTGTGGTAAATGTGTGTAGCAAGTTTGGTGAAGCTAGGGTGCATGGTTAAAAAGTTATAGGCCGTACAAAAGCTCGGACGGAAGGATGGACGGACGGAATGCTATATACCCCCAATTTACTTCGTAAATGGGGGTATAATTATTGAAGAGCTGGAGCTGGTTGATGCTGCACATCCTCTATCACTTAACCTACAGTATATGCAAGCATGAACACCAAGGGACTCCTGTCCGAAATCCAAAGTTCAAACTGTTACATATTAAGTCCTTATATAAAATTACCTCCAGGACCTCTCTAATGTCTGACAGTTGTAGATGTTGCTGCATTGGTATAGAACACACTGACAGTAGATGGAAGCAGAGCCTCGTACAATGCATGGCCAAACAGTCCGACAGCCCCAGCATCCCTCACTGAACAGCAATGTCCAACATGAGTGAGATATACCCCGACTCGAAGCCTGTACACTGACAGTAGATGAGAGCAGAGCCTAGTACCGGGTACAATACATGGCCTAGTACAATACATGGCCAAACAAGCCTAGTACAATACATGGCCAAACAAGCCTAGTACAATACATGGCCAAACAAGCCTAGTACAATACATGGCCAAACAAGCCTAGTACAATACATGGCCAAACAGTCCGTCAGCTCCAGCATCCCTCACTGAACAGTTATGTAGTACAACATGAGTGAGATATACCCCACTAGAAGCCTGTACACTGACAGTAGATGGAAGCAGAGCCTAGTACCGGGTACAATACATGGCCAAACAGTCTCACAGCTCCAGCATCCCTCACTGAACAGCAATGTCCAACATGAGTGAGATATACCCCACTAGTAGCCTGTACACTGACAATCTAACTGTGTCACTGTCCAAGCTATTTAGCTGTATCACAACTGATTACAAATGCCATGGCAACAGATTGTTGAGAAAGGGTTCGTTTACCTGTGGGAGTCATGTCTGAGCAGACCTTGGCGGAAGGCATTGCGCTGAAATCTACACACGTATGTAGCACTGATACTGACGACTTGATTGACATACTTATCTCTGCCCACTGTGTAAACTGGGGGAGCGGATAACAATGTTATCACATTAACGCTCACTTTCATCCTGAACACTGATCAAAGGAAATAAAGGAAAACAAACAACTTTCAGTTGATTTTCCTATTGATATAGAACTGACTGGGACACGGCAGTCATATTGGTTATCAATATTTTTCTAAAGCCCCCCCTTTCTTTGAATAATGGGCTTGTCCGCCAGCTGTTAAAACTAACATTTGGACCTTCCCATTGAAGTTCAAAGGGTGACTGGAAGTATGTGCGACTGCTTGACCTCTTATATGGGGCTATCAGTTTATCAGTTCCAAACATTGACATAACAGTACTTATCTTAAAGGTGTCCTCAAACTCATTAGACACAGGTAATTTCATAACATTTTGAAACGAAACCTTGTACACAAATACAAATAACATGATTGACATGCATGTCAGGAAATACTGTTTCAGATAGAAAGACTTTAGCCTGGCTCCAAGGCTGTATTGATGGTAAGTCCATTGGTGTGTAGTAATTCTATCCTTCTAACAGGTAAGTCTAGATCAGCGGACACTAGTCTCTTATAGGGACAATTTGTTCTTAATATTTATATTATCAAGAAATAATAATTTAAACTATTAATATTTGCATTAGAGACTTGTGCAAGTCTACTAGAAAGTGTCTGCATCGAGCATCACTGTCCATAATTCCCCCCAGTTCAGCGGTAGCTTATGGGCTAGTGGTAACAGCGTTTGCTCAATATGCCCAGGTTTGATTCCCCCATCATCAGGTTACAATGGGCGAAGCCTACTCTTAATGTGCTATAACATGGTAGTCTAAACATGGTCCAAAACCTAACGAGTCGGGGGGCTATGATTTTAGCACCCACTGTTAAAAAGATACATCTAAATTTGTCATTTCATTTGTGTACTCATCCCCCGTCATGATGATAGTGATGATGATAATGATAATGATATAAAATTAAGTTTGTTTTCGTTTTATTCCGCAGTCAAGTGAATATCACATCTTGTCTGTAGTCTCCTGCCCCACCTTCTCACAGACATAACATTCAAGCTGTGGCTCAGGCTCCGAGCAGTAAAATCCCTCTCCTTATCATTTAAAAAAATATTTTGTCTTTGTTCAGTGTAGCAAAAGAGATACCTAAATAATTATGTCCTAATTTCATTTCAAAGGAAAATGAAAAATATTTATACAGAGCTACAGATAAACTGTGTATTTGTGTAAAATACCAACAACAAAAATGTTTAAAACGCCATTGCTTTCAATTAACTTGTGTACAGAAATGCATTCCTTAAATGAAAAACTCAAATGTATAAAAACACCACACGTAAATACCCAATGAAGCTTTTTCAGCATGCACACAACAGAGCTAATTTCCGAAACACAATTACGAGCTAATTTACTTTTTAAGCCAAGTCTATATAGAACCCTTATCTACATCTAAAACATTTTGCATTTTTTTATATATCTCAAAATGTTTACTTATTTTGGGAAAACCCAATAGAGTGGTGATCCAATTAAAATGGAAACCTTTGATTAAAAACTCAATTGCTCAAAAAGTTATCTGGAGCTCTGTATATAACATTGTCACAAACAACCCCCTCCCCCCCACCCCCAAACCCTCCACAACAGCAGCAATGAGCTCACAATCCAAATTGACAACCTTTAAAATAAAATTTCTTATCATCTTTAAATCTTGGAAAAACATCTCCAGACTTTTTACAGCTGCTTGAAACGAGGTCAACATTTCCGAACATGATGTCCTACAACTGCAAAAGGCAATAATTTATTTGTTTACTACAAAACGACTGCTTCAGTGAAACCTTTTCCTGTACACCTTTTCCCCATATAAATAAACATTACGTCTCCCTTAGACAAGAACAGCTATGTTTATTGTTGTGAGTAAACAAGTGATTGCTGCAAGCCCTTTCAAGTGGCAATCTAGTCGGTGGTCAACACGAGATTCGGGTGAGATAAATGCCGATCTATTCCATCACTTCCTGCAAATACAACACATGTTTGAAGTCTGATGTCCAAATTACCAACACATTGCACAGTGTTTACTATGAAATTACACGTACTTCAGACACCACACAGTAATGTCACACGTATATATATACTGCTCAACACTTGGTAAGGACAGCAAGCTATTTCATACTGGGTTGGTTGGTTGGTTTGTTGTTTAACGCCGCACTCAGCAATATTCCAGCTATATGACAGCGGTCTGTAAATAATCGAGTCTGGACCAGAGAATCCAGTGATTGATATCATGAGCATCGATCCACGCAATTGGGATTGATGACATGCATCAACCAAGTCGGCGAGCCTGACCACCCGATCCCGTTAGTCGCCTTTTACTACAAGCATAGTCACCTTTTACGGTAAGCATGGGTTGCTGAAGACCTATTCTACCCCGGATCTTCACGGGTCAATTCATACTGGGAAAACATTCTGCACACACTCTGACTGGCTTAAATGTATGCATGTGGACTTCTTTTTTCTTCTTTTTTTTTGTTGCTCATTGTCCCATTTTCCCCCCTGGCCTTCCTTTGTATCGAGATTTCTGTTTTTTGACAACTTAAATGGCTTTAAAGTCATTATTTTGGTGGTTTTGATGTATTTTAGTTATACAGTCGAATGCATTTTGAAGAGATTTCCATATATCTGTACAATCAACTATGTGCTAATCAACACACAGGAAAAAAGTGAGGTTTTCCTGTCTTGTACATGCACAGGAGGCAAGAGAAGCAAGATAGTATTGCTTGCACAACTAATTATGTATATTTGATGGTGAGGAGGACTTCTGTTGAAAACCTGAAGATATTTTTAGTGTGATGACAAGCCAAATTGCGGGAATTAGGCATTGATATAACAGAGGTAGAGTATCTGCAAGAATGATTACAAACAACAAGATATGGGCCAAAACAATGTATGTAGAGTTTAGTTGTCATTGGTTTAGGGTAATGGTTGCATAAACAAAACCATTAAAACCACACACTAAAGGAAATAAAGGTTAAAGACTCGTCACCAAAATGCCAAGTGTCGTGAATTCAGACATATGCAACCATAGATCTTTTTACTTATGATACTTCTAATAAAGGGATTAAAAAAGAAATTTGACATACCTGAGAGAAAATGTTGAGAGTTTGGACCAAAATCTCTATAAGCTTCTTGTAACTGCTTTAATCGATCTTCTATCGCTATTTGTAAGGCCTTCCACCTGAAAATATACAGACATTTTACACAAAATACCTTTCCAAATAATATTTATACCATTGCTTTCAAGCACATAGCAAATATCACATGGCCAAAGAAAACAACCAATACCAATATTGTGATTATTTACAACAAAGTACATGTACCAAAGCCAATTAAAGGGAGGTAACTCTTGAATACATGCAGAAATAGTTCCCATAAACAACATTTTAAATGACTTATCAACTTCATCATATGAACTTCATGTTAAAAAAAAAAGATTCATATCGCTTACCTTGTGTTGAAATCTTCAAGTTTACGGACGTTGACGTGGGACAGGATGACGTCTGCTGCTTGAAGGTCATTAGCTTCGTCATTGACATGGTCAACCTCCCCTTGAATGGGAGCCACCTTCTGCTGGAAGGCCTGCAACAAACAAGTCAAACTTTAAAAAAAGCATCCACAGATCACAGATCATAGCTTGCAACACAAGGCTGACCATTTGTCATAATTATCATAGTAAGTGAGTTATTATGATTTTACGCCGCTTTTAGCAATATTCCAGCAATATCACGGCGGAGGACACCACAAATGGGCTTCACACATTGTACCCATGTCGGGAATCGAACCCGAGTCTTTGGCGTGACGAGCAAACTTTAACCACTAGGCTACCCGACCGCCCCTAATTATCATAGATTTCCTCCTGTTCCTTGGTCAGCCCCACACTGGGTGTCAATGTAATGGCCCTTAATTATAACTTAATATAAGATAGCTTCGCGAAAATCGCAAAGAACAAAGACGAGTGGTTTATTTCATGACAAAACATTGTTCTATCGCGACGTCATTTCTTGAGATTGGAATATGCGCTCGCAACTTGATGATGTCATATACTGAACAATGTTATTTTTTTAAAGGGAAGTGATAAGTAAGTTGTTCCCCATAGATGTAGCTGGGCTACGCAGATAAACACAGTGGCCGAACAATCACATCCCAAAGTGGGAGAGATTTGACAATCGGTGCTAGGAGAAAAGGTACAATCGGCGTGAGGATTGTGAGAATATCCAGGAAATACCTAAGTTCACCCATCTGTTCGTAAAATGGACTTGTCCGACATTTATGAGGTCGGATTCTATTCAGGGAGTTACCATCGTTAAAATTTGGGTAAATATTTTTAAAGTTTGTACATTTTATCAACATCCTTAAAGAGGCTGTACATAATGTTGATATCTCACATCGGAAATAAACAACTGTGACCCTCATGGTTTACCAGTATTCTCCCTGTAGTGTTTTATTGTACGATAAACAACTCCCACTCGTCATTTATTTCTTATATAACAAAAGTTTGTTTCTTAAAGCCTCTGCTTCAAGCCATTCATTATACACTTTGGGGTCTGTGTTGGTGTGTGTGTGTGTGTGTGTGTGGGGGGGGGGGTGGGGGGGGGGGGGGGGGGGGGGGTGTAGAATTGTTGAAAAAGTACAGTACAATTGCTGTACCACCCCATAATTAATTTACCTGGTACAAATTATTCATAATGGTCTTTTAAATTTTTTTGCAAAAGGGTAGATAAAGATAATGAAGTTTTCTTAAACTGCTTTGAGTATATTTAATATGTATAGAAGCTGACAATCACATCAATATTGACATACAAACATCAGGCAAATAAACTCCTGCCATTACGGACTGTTGCAGCCATTTGTAAATGGCAACATTGTTAACAGCTGTAACTGTTGGTCAGCATTCAGGTGTTGTGGAGAACAGCTTTGTGCATAGCTGGTGTAGAATACAGCTGTTACAGCCTGGATCAATACCTCATGTATTGATCAATACATTTGTGCTGCTGTGATCATGTTTATTCATTACAACATCGAATCATTTCTATTTTTTGTAATTAATTCAACTTTAAGTGAATTATTTTGTTAGTCCACAATCACAGCCTCAATATTACTATAAAACACAGAATCAAAGAGGTGTAAATAATTTCTGCCTGAAATGTGCCAAAATTGAATGATAAATTTTCTCAAAAACTTTATTGGAATGTTGTTTATTGAAATTGATCACACGACACATTGATAGAAAAATAAGGGCGCTGGGTGTCCATGGGATTTTCTGCTTTTGTTTATTAATCAAGGGACTCATTAAATTTTTACCATTAGGGTTATAGGAAGGACCTCCACTCTTTCATACTCCATTTCAAACAGTGATGTCAGATACAACATGATAAACGACTTGTTTCTCTCCAGTACTCTGAATATTTAGTGAATATAGTGAGTGAGTGAGTGAGTGAGTGAGTGTGTTGGGGTTAAAGCCGTTTTGAACAGTATTTCAGTTATATCATGGCGCGTCAGCTTGATGTGGGAGGAAAGCCCAAAGTGATGCAGGTCTCAGACGTTTACCACTTCGATGAAACCCACAAGCACAGGTATGGTGCTGACAAACCTAGAAACATAATCAGGCCGAACCGGGATTCGAACCCCAATGATAAGTTTCTCGCATGCCAAAGGGACGCAACTCTGCACAGCAAATGAGGCGCCTCAGACGACTGGGCCACCCCCTGAATATATTCCACTCCCCTAAAGGAAACAACTGTTTGGAGCAGATTGCTAAGGCAACACATTTTTAATTCTATGTTTCACAGATATATTCCAGCTTTTCCACACAAAGATGGTTGAAGTAATAGTTAAAATAAATGTCAATTATTTCATTATTCACATGAAAGTCATTCTGTCAAGGACTTAAAACTGCAGGTGGCCTCTTGAATCACTGATAGTGATGAAGACATGGAATTTATATACAACATTTTATTTGGTATACAAGGGACTATATTACTAGTTACTAGTGGGAAACATAACAAAAATAAATATTTTAATGTTTAATTTATTTCTTAGATCACTGCTTTTCAGTAGGGGTGGCCAGCCCATGAAATTAAAAATATAACATGTGTGGCCTAAGGGCATTATGGCAAGTAACGAATATATTCTGTTACAAGTGACATTCTAGAACTACAGAGAAATCTCATCACGTCTTATCATGAAAATATTTTGTGACTGGTAACATGGCTAGGATGATAACATTTCTCACCTTCTTGACTTTGGGGTTCATAAATCCAACATTTCAACGATAAGAAAAGCAGAAATTTATCAACAATATGGGCATCAAGACGGATTGCTCTGGCTGCTGACAAATTATGTCTCCTCATGTGTAGCATCCATCAGGGATTCCATCGCGTTTTGTGATGTCGGTAAATTTGAAATATCAGTGAGTGAGTTGGGTTTAACGCCCCTTTTAACAGTATTCCAGTTATATCGCGCATGTCAGCTTAATGTGGGAGGAAAGCCCGAAGTGATGCAGGTCTCAGACATTTACCACTTCGGTGAAACCCACGAGCACGGGTATGGTGCTGACAAACCTAGAAACATAATCAGGGTGAACCGGGATTCGAAACCCACAATCATAGGTTTCTGGCGTGCCCAAGGGACGCAACTCTGCACAGCGAATTGTGGCGCCTTAGACGACTGGGCCACCCGTGCCCCCTGAAATATCAGTACTGTATCATATAAAATTTATTAATAAGAATATTAGAATTAATAATTCTCTGCGACATAAACATATATTCATTAAGATTACCATGATAAACATAGACAATGAAATGAGAAATTCAATTTTGAATGTTTAATGGTTGGTTGGTTTGTTGTTTAACGCTGCACTCAGCAATATTCCAGCTATATGACGACAGTCTGTAAATAATCGAGTCTGGACCAGACAATCCAGTGATTAAGATCATGAGCATCGATCAACGCAATTGAGATACGATGACATGCATCAACCAAGTCAGCGAGTCTGACCACCCGATCCTGTTAGTCGCCTCATACGACATGCATAGTCGCCTTTTACGACAAGCATGGGTTGCTGAAGACCTATTCTATCTTCACAGGTCGAATGTTTTATGGATCAGCCTTATTCATATTTAGCATTAAGTTGATTAATTGCAGGTGTATATAGATTATTTTTTATCTGTACACCTATAGAATAATGTAATTATTAATTGATAAATTGATATATCGTGATACTTCTGAGTCAATATATCAGTAATAAGATACCCAATCAGAGACACTCCTAGCATCCATTGATAAACCAGAGATGTAAAACTTCAGATTAGGATGTTTAATTACAGAACTGTAAATCAGAGTTTGAAACCATAACAGTAAAAAGTCACTTGAGTGACAAGTCCTACCGACTCGTACCAATTTCTTTGATTCAAGTCCGAAACTGCTTTCACAAGTTGCTGGCCAATCAAGCATGTGGCAGCATTTGTAAACCCAAAGCTCCTAACATTGTCACAAGGAACTACCCCTGTGTGGAGCTGTTAGAGATGTTTTGTTCAAACTGGTTGAGTGTATTGTGCTCTGTCCACATGTTTGAACTCTGGACTATATTTTAACAGATCAAGCACATTATTCAATGTCTTGCCAGTTTGGGTCTGCTGACAGCTTCCAACCAATGCGATGTCCTGTCAACTTTGGAATTCATACATAAAAGATCGGACTTCCTAAAATCCAAGTGGACTGTATTATACAATGTCTGAGTAATGTGGATGCATGCCAAGCAATAGAGTGTCAAAATCTTGTCAGCTTGTTATTTTTGTTTTAAAATTTGACTATGGATGTACAAAACTCAACTTTGGATAGAGATGATGAGATCATATTAACTATTATTAGCTTAATAATTTCTTAAACACAGGTTGGAAAATAATTCAGTTTTATCACGGAGGGAATCCCAAATTGATGCCAGTCTTAAGACACCTAGATTGAGGTATCCGGTGAGGTATCTGGTGAGGTATCCGGTGAGGTATCCGGTGCCAGACAGCCGGATTCCAGGTGTCCAATCTGGTATCCGGCAAGGTATCTGCCACCGGATACCCGGATGCGTTTCGGAGGTAGTCGGAAGAGATCCGGATACCAGAAACTGCTTTTTATTTTTGCTGTGCATGTACCACAATGTTTTTGTTTTTTTGTAGAATAATGCCACACTATTCCAGCCATATGACAGCGGTCAGTAAATAATTGACTTTGGAACAGACAATCCGGTGATTTACATCATAAGCATCGATCTACCCAAGTGGGATATGACGGCATACAATCAACATGTCAGTGAGCCTGACCACCCGATTCCATTAGTCGTCTCTTCTTCCAAACCCATGATCACAGGCCAGAGCCAACAAAACCAGTATCATGATCGAGGTGGTTCCAACACGCAACACATGGATCCCTTTACAGTGAAGGACACAAGCTACGTTATTGATGACCACTTTGGTGAGCCATGAAACAATAAAACATCCTTCTAAAACACTGAGTGGTATAAGAAAACAGTAGGTCACTTTCTTACCTTAGTTGCGTCAATCTCATCCTGGAGGTTTTCAATGATGATGTCGCCGACCGACACCCACTTGGCTTTCTCCTGTTCAGCCTGCAGCAGGTGGCCGTTGAGATCCTCCATTGCTTCATGGAACATCGCCATTTTCTGAAGTGGGGAAATCATTGACATGTCTCCATTGCCATAAACATCATATCTGACAGGCAGGGTAAAAACATAATGCTACATCGGCAGTAATTCAGACACACGCAGAGTGAGTTCAAACTTAAAGTCACATTGGCAGTATTTAGGCCATATCGTGACTAGAGTTAAACATTATTACTTGTTGTTGTGTGTTGTTTAACGACGCACTCAGCAATATGCTATATGACAGCGGTCTGTAAATAATCAAATCTGGGCCAGACAATCCAGTGATTGACATCAAGAGTATTGATCCACAAAATTTGGGATCGATGACACGCATCAGCGTGCCTGACCACCCGATCCAGTTAGTCGCCTCTAACGACAAGCATAGTTGCTTTTTATGGCAAGCATGGGTTGCTGAAGACCTATTCTACCCCAGTACAACAACTTACAACAAACATTGTTGTACAGTATGGACACTACAACAACTAGCAATATATCACATTGATAGTTTTGAAACTAGTTTGAGCACATTTAACTGAGAAACTGTTCTCAACAACAAAATATAAAAACAGGAACAAGATCTGACAGGCAGAGAGGAAAGAACTAAAGGCAAATGTGAACAGATAGATTTCAACAACGGCTTCTTGAAGAGATGCATTACATAATCACATCATGGAGAATAAACAAGTCGACACTGAGTCTATCTTGCTTCAATCAACCTATGTGTTTTTTCAGTCAGGGCGAACATTAGACACGTTATCTCATCTGCCTTTGTTGTGACTTGGGAAAAGAAAATGGTGGCAACTTTCAGGATGTAGATACAGCTCTTTAGGCTGATAAAGTTTACAGCTATTTGTCTGGCTCTGGTCCAGGGTTCACCAACAAATGATCGTAGCTACGACTGTTTACGTCTTGAAGTACACGAGGTATGAAAGTGGTACTGCTACCCTCACATAGTGAATATGGGCCCCTGGGACCTTGTTTGCTGTATAGTTGGGAACTTGGCACCCAGCAGCGACAGGGGTGGCAAAATGGTCGACAGAGGGGGTAAATGATTGACAGAGTGGGCAAATGGTTTATAGAGGGGGCATATTCTGTAAAGAAGTTTTCATAGATGCTAACATAGGAGGATCTAGAAGGGAGTTCAGGGGGTCTGACACCCCCCCTTGAGGTTCAAATGAAGTATGTTGTAGGCAGTTAAATTGACTGACAGAGGATTTTGATATCTTGGACCCCACCCTTTTAAGAATGCTGGATCCACCCTTTGCCATCCTCAATTGGCAATTATTAATATGTGTGATAACTGGAGTCAAAATCTAGTCATTTAAAAGACCATTTAACCATTAGGATGATTGTTTGTATTCGTTCGACAAAATTCATCTTTTATATTGCATCCCCCGAACTCCCAAAAATCTGGAAACGTGAAAAGCAAAAGTTATGTGACAATGCCTGTTAGGAGTTACACTATGAACTAGAGGATAAAAGCTTTGTGACATACAGTAGACGTAACTGTCTTCCATAAAGTCATATCAACATACCGTCTGTTTTTTTAACCAACATGCTTTCTAAAGCACTGCAATCTAGTAGTGAAAATCAATAAATCAGAGGAAACGTTTTTTTGCTTAAACTCATATACTTCACTTTATCACATTGATAAAAATATCATAGTGATTCTGACATGTCATAAAGGTTGGCATATCTCATTTTGGGTCATCCACAGCTCCAAAACTGTCACAAGCTATCTATCTCTTAGCTTCATACATATATCAACAGACACATAAGAGTTGTCCCCCTTTAAAGTATATCACAATCTTAAATTACAGTCATTTCCTTTTCTTTGGTATTAAAATAACATGGAAAGGAATTGATGTTAATCTGCCTAGGTGAGATTCAGTAATCCCCAGTCTTGTTAGTCACATGTACGTGGACTCACTTCAATAACTTCATCGATCTTCGATTGCCACTCATTGCTTCTCTGGTTAATCTCGATCCACTTTCTGTTGAGCAGTCGAACTTGTCGCCGGATCTTCTTGATGAGGTGCCGAGCGTCCATGTCTGCTGACACATCCGTCATAGAACCCTCGTCTGACAAAACACACATTAACACTTGCAAAAACTCCAAAGGTGAATAATACAGTTCAGAAAAGGAGATGTAATACCGGATGAAATATCTGCATGTTGGACACACTACTACCGTAATCTAAGAATGAAGCCAATTTTAATTAAAATAATTGACATGAGTGTGTGAATGAATTGAGTTTTATAAAATTTGTATGACTTCATGAAATTGTTTGTTGTTTAATGCCGTATTCAGCAATAGTCCAGCTGTATGACAAGGGCCTGTACACAATCGAGCCTGGTAATCCAGTGATCGATATCGTGAGCAATGATCCACCCAATCAGGGTACGATGACATGCAATCAACCAAGTCAAAGAGCCTGACCCTCGGTCCATGATGTCTTCCCCGAGGTAGCTGGGAGGAATTCCAACCAGACATGCCCACAGGGTATTTTATGAAGTGTAATGAACCTCACAGATTTTACCCATGTTGGGAATCAAACCAAGGACTTGGGCATGAGCCCGGCCGATGGTTTAACCTGATTCCCCCACTCCCCATAATACAAAGTCAAATCAGTAAGCTTTATGAACGCTACAAGCGAAATATATTTTACTGAAAATATCATGTTTAACTTTTATGTAACAGGAAGAGTTAAGTTTTGTGCACCTACAAAGTCAATTTTACATTGTAATCTAAATCATGAAAATATGTATAAAACCACTTATATCACATAAACTTGTGATTAATTACAGCATTTCTCCAATATTAACAGATGACAAATTGTTGGTTCAGAATAAATCTTATATCATTTGAATTTCAATCTGATATTTTATCAAATCAACAAATAATATTTTAAAGAGGAGATGCATTAATATATTCTCAGGCTGTTTACGAATTCTCATTAATTTCATGTATACCGGTAATACCATTTGAAAAATCGGGAATAAAATGTGGTTTACCTAATAACAATCTAAGTCTTTATACAGTGGTTAGAATTTAAACCTATTCCATTGATTACACTTAAGGAATTCACAATCTAGTTCCTGTCCACAGGCGCCCGTTCCACAAAGCGATCTTAGTGCTACGACTATCGTAAGCCTATGTTAAAGTATGGGAGTTAAGATTGACTTAGTGCTACGACTATAGTAAGCCTATGTTAAAGTATGGGAGTTAAGATTGACTTCGCGCTACGACTATAGTAAGCCTATGTTAAAGTATGGGAGTTAAAATTGTCTTAGCACTAATTTTGCTTTGTGAAATGAGGCCCAGAACTACAGGAGATGATGCTGTCGACACGACCCTCACCTGTTTCGTTACTGTCCCCGCTGTCTGTACTGAGCCTCTTGTCGTCACCCTCTTCGCGCAGGTAGAAGCGACCTGCCTCCAGGCTCTGCTCCACTAGGGGGCGCTTCAGGTTCAGCTGATCATGGAGCCTCTGTAAATACAGGCATATACAGACTTAGCTGGTAGGTTCATAGTGAAAGCCTTGTGCATCAAGGGAGATAATTCTTGCAGCGCTCTCATCTGAATTGGCCTTCATGGTTTAACCTTTGCTTGTTTTGGGGTTTAACGCCGCACTCAGCAATATTCCAACTATATCATGGCAGTTTGTAAATAATCAGCTTGGATCAGACAATCCAGTGACTGACATGAGCATCGGCCTATGCAGTTGGGATATAATATCATGCATCAACCAAGTCAGTGAGCCTGACCACCTGATCTCCTCCCTCCTCTTTTGAAAACTACAGGTTTTTGCCCAATTGTAACTCAGATCTTCACAGGGGCTTTAACCTTTATCAATGAATGTTTGTAATTGAAAAGTGAAAGAGTGAGCGAGTCGAGTTTTATATCACAGTAGGGGAATATCAGTCAAATTAAACAAAAGTATTGGTGAATATGTTACTGAAGTTTTGATCACTAAACTGTTGCACGGATAAAACTTATTCAACTGCTTTCCTTGCAACATATACCACTCAAAACAAGTTAAAGAACACCCACAATTGTAAGCTGTGTGTTGCACTACCCACCAGCAGGTTAACTATAATATGAAAAAATTGGAATTTCTTTTACTTCTTTTGAGTAGTATATCTGGCAATGTACATCTGTATTTTTTTTCTCTTGGCAGACAAAAGATATCCTGTTTCAAGGATGAATCGGTCTTTAATTTAAGAGGGATGTACCATACCAATCAAAAGAAAGTTCATTTACATTGAGATCTCTTCTTTCAGTTTCATTTTGAAAAAAAGCCACCTCGTTAATATAGTTCCAGGTCAGTATCCTGAACTCATAGTTAATGAAAAACCTTCTCTCCAAATTGGATTTTTTCTCCTTAATCTCTTGCCATAAAGCATTTAGGCATGTTCATCCAGAAATCAGTTCAAACAAGTTCCAAGATCATAAGTGAGGCCTGACTAAATTCGGTGAGATACAGATTTCGTCAACACAAACAAAGGGGGCGGTCAGGTAGCCTAGTGGTAAATGTGTGCACTCATCATGCTCAAGGACTGGGTTCCATTCCGAACATGAGTACAATGTGTGAAGCTGTCCGCTGCTCTGCTATTGATGGAATATTGCTACAAGTGGTGTAAAACCCGACTCACTCACTCACTAACATAAACAGATATGGAAGACATGAACAAGCAGAGTCCTTGGTGATGTGGGTAGTCTGTTCCTGTTGTAGCTCACCTGGTTCTCGGAGTGCTGGCGCTGCACGCTGATGAGGTCTCCACCGATGGGCTGCTGTTGCTGGAGCTCCTCTTGCCGCTGCAGGATCCAGTTGATGAGGTTCTGCAGCGTCCGCAACAGGTGCATCCACTGCTCTGCATTGCTCTCCAGCCGACCCCTGCACGACAAACAATAGTTGCTGGTTATATACTCAACCCTTGACTATATTGCACACCTTACCTCCATACTGACAGACTATTCCCCATAGCTCACCTCCCTGCTATATACAAAATATCCCACACCTGATCTGCATGCTCTATAGAGTATACTTCACACCTGACCTCCATGCTGTATAGAGTATACTACACACCTGACCTGCACACTATATAGAATATTCTACAGATCTGACCTCCATGCTATATAGAGTACGCTACACACCTGACCTGCACACTATATAGATTATTCTACAGATCTGACCTCCATGCTATATAGGGTATGCTACACACCTGACCTGCACACTATATAGAATATTCTACACATCTGACCTCCATGCTATATAGAGTATACTACATACCTGACCTGCACACTATATAGACAATATACCACACCTAACCTGCACACCATAGAGACACATACCGGATCTCCATGCTCTTGGTCATGAGGCTGAGCCACCTCTGATTCATCTCCTCAAGGCGACGGTGCAGTTTCTGGGCATCTGATGTCCCCATCCCGCGTGCCAGTTGGTTGCCTGCACTGTTCAGAGACTCATACGCCCCCTGGTGGCCATCGACTTCGGCTTGCAAGTCCTGAAACACAAATCAGAAACATTAGCATGTATCAGTACATAGTAGATATTGAAGTGTATTGCAAAGGCAGGCCACTCTCACTCGCCTGCACAATCGTAACGACAAAGGACTTACAGTGTACAACTATAAGAGTCAACACGAAGTATTCTCAAAAGCATTGATAGAAGAACCTGCTAGTTGCTTGAAGAGTAATAATCTAATTAGACATGACAACAGAAATTAAAGTTACATTCCAAACATTCTTTGAAGGTTGGTTGCCTTCAATCATAATTTGTTCCCAAGTCGTATGAAAAATACGTTATTGGCATTATCTGTCATGGTATTCTTATGGGATGTTCCAATTTCTGTCTGCAGTGGCAGTAAATGTCAGCATATCAGTCCAGGGATTTCAGCATAAAGTTTTGTGGATTCTCGTTTTGTTTCTTTGAAAGCAGCCAGTACGAAACTGAGACATGTGAGTGAGCTGGGTGTATCGCTGCTTTTAACAGTATTCCAGTTATATCACGGCATGTCAGCTTAATGTGGGAGAAAAGCCTGAAGTGATGCAGGTCTCAGACGTTTACCACTTCGGTGAAACCCATGAGCACGGTATGGTGCTGACAAACCTAGAAACATAATCATAGGTTTCTGGCATGCCCAAGGGACGCAACTCTGCACAGCGATTCGTGGCGCCTTGGACGACTGGGCCACCCGTGCCCCCACTGAGGCGTGTTCTTTGAACATTACCACAGTTGTCTGCACCATGAACAGACATAAAACTGATGGCAATCCATCTCAACGTTGCCAGAAGTCTGCATCTGACACTAAGTGATCTGACACGAGCAATGTATATTCAACATGCAATAATGACAGATATCGCATAGCTCCACAGTCGTATTGCATGCTTTTTATCACAGTATCTCACTCATGTACATGTCAACAGAAATATACAATACAAAAATAAACGCCATGTTCAGAATGTAGGAAAAAGCAACAACTGTCAAGGCGAACCCCATTACACGGTTGCCCTTTTATCATGTTGGCATGGTAGATTACCATGAAATGCATCAGGCTACCAACAAAACGGACTCCAGCGAAACAGCAGGTATCTAGAAAAAACTAGGCAAGTGATGGAGCGCTGCAGACTTCAGGCCCACAGCAATACAATCCTCCATGTGTTGCTCCCCGTAATGAACAGCTTTCTGCAAGATGATCCACTCTGTGAGAGAATGACCTGTAATTCAGCGAGACTTTTGTCACCGATTATCTTGGAGGTTTTTTGGAGGACGTCAGTTGACTTAGATGGGTCCTTCAGCTCTTAACAGCTCGAGCCCGAACACAAGCTGGGTAGTGAACAATATGTATTGTGGTCAGAAATATAGGTGAACTGCCTGCAGTAATATTGGATCTGCTTTCATTTCACAGTACCATGGATACCGAATATCATGAGAACATAAAATATTTCCAGCTGTTTGAAGGTAGAGTCAGAACATAAAAGATATTATGTGAGTGAGTAGGTTTTGTGTGAGCAAGTTAGTGGGTGGGTTTTGAGTGAGTGAATGGGGTTTGAGTGAGTGAGTGAGTGAGTGAGTGAGTGAGTGAGTGGGTGTGTGGATGTGTGTTTGGGTGAGTGAGTGAGTGAGTGAGTGAGTGAGTGAGTGAGTGAGTGAGTGAGTGAGTGGGTGGCTTTATGGTTTCATTGAATGAGCGAGTGAGCTTTGGGTTTGTGGGTGGGTGGATCTTAAGTGAGTGAGTGAGTGAATAGTGTTTGGGTGAGTGAGTTTGGGGTGAGTCAGTTGGTGGTTTTATAAATGAGTAAGTGGTTGGGGACTTGGGTCGAGTGAGTGAGTGAGTGGGTTTTGATCGAGTGAGTAAGTGACATGCATGTCAAAAGAGCCCACTAAATGTGGATTGAGTGGACACAATGACCTATTTGGCTGACAATCACCATGTTCTTATCCTTCCTCATTCTGGCAATGACAAGTTTGCCTGGTCCAGACTTGACTACAAACATGCTGCAACGTTATGACATGAATATGTCTGACTTCCGCACAAACAATTCACTCGATCACTCAAGAGGTGATCATTTATAAAACTACAGGTCAGGTGACATGTTGAACAAACACCCAACATCCTTTAACATCGAACATCACATTTTTATCGTTGCTATAGAAACATACCACATTGAAACGTGTAGATAGAACTTTTTTTAACAAAATAAATTCAATTTGATAACACAGAACATCCCTGCAGTAATTTCCGAAACATATGACAGAATATTCCAAGTATTTATCTAGCCACCTCTCCTATAGCAATTAAAATTCCCTGCAGATGAAATCCAATCGCAGAAAGCCTAGCAACGGCTATAGGTAGAGCCATAATGAGGCAACGATTTTTCATTTCCTCAGAGCACTCAGCGGCCATCTCCCTCACCTCGTTTGTAAGATGTGCAGCCCAAGATTGCCGAGTCAGCGTATTGATCATCTCGACACACTATTGTCAGGGCCTGTCTGGCCGATTGAGACTATTCTCTACCAATTATAGCTATAGCTTAGTCCCAAATGCTTGAAGTATTCACTCCTAATAAGAGGTTATCATCAGATATTTTCTCTGTTACTCCCTTGACAACTCAGAGATGTTAAAGTAGCTTATACCCCTCCATGGAGAAATCAGTGGTACATAAATGTTCTTCAGCTTGCGTACAAAACAGTTTAGGAATTTTAAAAGTATGCAAAGAAAAACTTTAAAACAGATCCTCTGTTTGGCTTGTCTAGAAGCAAAATAAATGTTTTTCATTCTGAGTATAAATTTATAACCAAATATCATGGGACTAACTTAGAAATATAGCATCCTACACATATTTTTCATCAATATATGGAGTTAACTTCATATTCTAATGGGAATAAATGTTAAAAGCTGTTTTTATGAAGGAAATTGAAAACACAGGTTTTGACATCAAGCAAATAGCACTTCTTCTCCAAAAAGCTGGAAACATGTCAGTAATATCACCCAACTATTGCCTCAAACATATTGGATTTTCCAGAGCTAAACCATTTATTCTCAAAATCAATAAACACAAACATTTATTTTTATCTTTAAGTAAAGAAAAACTTCATCATGAACTTCACAATTGAATTTCAAGGTTGTCTGTTAAAAATGTTGCCTCACACAGTGAAAATCCAGCCAATTTAAAAAATGAAACTCCAATCCAAGAAAGGACACAAAACCTTTCCCCAGGTGGACATAATTCAATTCACAAAGAACTCTTGAAAAGGATTTTTTCTGACTTGTTGAACTTGTAGGAAATTGAGATCCATTAAAAAATTGTTCACACATTTTTATTTCCAAGACAATCTGTCCAGAAGGATCAAATTTGCCACATCTAACCGCCATGTCTTGAGGAGGTATCAAACTTTCATGCTGAAGATGAAATCTTAACTTGGGTGATTTTACTGTAATCGGTTTGTAGTGACATGGAAAATTACACTAACAAACTCTGCAAACATTAATGTACTAGAACGTGTGATAAAATATATTAGTAACAAGTTGAAGTTTCATATTTAATATCAAATACTTATGTTATTGACAAAACTAAAATTTGTCTAAGCATGAACATACATTGATATCTGGTACATATGGTCAACATGTGCCTACTAACTCAAACTTGGTGCAGAATATTTGAATAGTTGACACAATATGTGTGTGTGATCATATCATGTAATGCTATTGCCATTTCACTTTAAAATTATGTTGACACCTGCCATGTGCTTGCTCATTATACACAGTCACACAGGTACACAGCCCTAAAGGTACAGTCACAGCCACACAGGTACACAGCCCTAAAGGTACAGTCACAGTCACACAGGTACACAGCCCTAAAAGTACAGTCACAGTCACACAGGTACACAACCCTAAAGGTACAGTCACAGTCACACAGGTACACAGCCCTAAAGGTACAGTCACAGTCACACAGGTACACAGCCCTAAAGGTACAGTCACAGTCACACAGGTACACAGCCCTAAAGGTACAGTCACAGTCACACAGGTACACAGCCCTAAAAGTAGTCACAGTCACACAGGTACACAGCCCTAAAAGTACAGTCACAGTCACACAGGTACACAGCCCTAAAGGTACAGTCACACAGGTACACAACCCTAAAGGTAGAGTCACAGTCACACAGGTACACAACCCTAAAGGTACAGTCACATGCAGTCACACAGGTACACAGCCCTAAAGGTACAGTCACAGTCACACACGTACACAGCCCTAAAGGTACAGTCACAGTCACACAGGTACACAGCCCTAAAGGTACAGTCACATGCAGTCACACAGGTACACAGCCCTAAAGGTACAGTCACAATCACACAGGTACACAGCCCTAAAGGTACAGTAACAGTCACACAGATACAAAGACAAACATGTGAGTAAATCCGCGACCACATATTGTAACTACCAGATCCTCATTTATAATCAACTTGGGAATCTAATCTGACTCTGAATCCTCACACAGTGTATCTGACTGACAAGTGTCAAACACACAATCTGAAACTCCAAGTAGCAAATTAAGATATGCTCTTTAGGGCACCAACTATACAGCTGAGTTGACAGTGTAAAGAACCGTCTACAAGGGTACAACAAGGGCAACTGTAAATAACCATAGGTCCTTCAAGGTCACGGTCCACACACTCTGGGACACAAGTGTCTAGACAAAATATTTGAAAGTAAGCCACACATAAATAAATTAAAACTTCATACGTTGAAACAAAATCTGTGGTACCATTCCCACTTGTCCTACAGTTAATCACAGACCACGAAGTGACTGCCATCAGGTTGATCCCCCTCCACCGACTATAATTATGAAACCCAATCAGCTGACATTGCAGCCAAATTGGTTCCTGTGACCACTGACGATCCGTTTAATCTTACAGTGTCTTCACAACAGTTCAATATCAATCACGTCTACTTGGAGACAATTGTGGTGTGACCTATGTCTTGTGTCAAGGGGCTGTAGAGGTCAGTC